ACCACTGCCAGCCGAGGTCCCCACCCCAATCCGCAAACACCCTGGACGCAAATCTAAAGCTCAAAAAGAAGGGGAGGCCGCTGCTGCCAAGGGAGAGGATCCGCCAAAGCGTCAGACGCGAACGCGGGCTGCCCAAAAGGACACTGAACAGGCGGCACTGCCGGTGCCAACGCCTGATCGCCAGCTGAGATCGCCCAGGAAAGTGCCACCGCCTCCGCCAGCTCCATCCACAGCAGGTAAGCGCAACAGGTAACAGGTGGGCTTAGATCGTTAATCCCTACCTTTCGATTTTCGCAGCTGTCGGAAAGCAGACAAAGGTTGCAAAACCCACCCCCGTTGTGGTAATTGAACAGAGCGAGGATCTGTTCCCGGAAATTGCCACTGAACCTGAGCCTCAGCCAGAACCGGTTAAGAAACCCGACCCTACTCCTGAAACACAGCTAACTCCGCCTGATGTGCCTGTGGAAGCCGTACTCTCCACCCAACTGCCGGGGAGCAGTGGAGATGGTGCAGCTGCTATGGCTGCCGCAGAGACTTCGCCCAAGAAAGCCAACACGCGAATTTGCAATTTGGTAAGAACAATTAAAATATATAGATTAATTACATGTGTTAGCAAAACCCGATTTGGTAAGATACAAAAAATAGGTTTAACCGGCAAAAAATAATTTTAACCGGTTTGGACAAAACGGAACACCATTTAAGATTGATTTCTTTTCCAAATTTAAATTAACTTTTTTCTGCAGAACTCCCCACCGGATCGCAAGCAGACAAACAATTCCTCGAGTCCCACTTTGCGGCCCAAACCCACGGGCCATCTAACTGGACGCGGTGCCCAGCTGATCAACATGATCCGGAATAAGAAGTTGGATGCCGCCGCCGTCTCGCCGTATGCTTCCATGTCGACTTCGCGTCTGGTCCACCAGGTGACACCAGCACGTCTCATAGAACGCTCCGAGCAGGTGTCCACGCCGACCAGCGAAATGAACGAGCTGACGGGCACGGACAACACTTCCACGCCGCTTCAGGCACCTCCCAATAAGGATCTGCTGACGTTCTCTAAGCGACTGCCCTCGCCCTCGGCAAGTCCCTCGGTCAGCATCCTGAAGCGCAAGCTGCGATGCGATAGCCTCGATGACGTGACCCTGGAATCGCCGGCGCTGAAGCGAAAGCGGGTGAGCTTCCACGACCCACCGGTGTCCGTCACCAAGGAGTACCTGCGGGATTCCGACGAGACGCGCAGCAGCCTGAAGCCCAAGCGTTGCTTACTAATGGACAAGGTGGCCCAGACCAGCGAGATGCGCCAGGCGCTGAGAAGACGTGGTCGCTTGGACAGCATAATCGAGATTGAGCGCTTCGCTAGCGAGCAGACGGCCAGAACAGCGACGACGGACAAGACGCTGGACAAGTCCACTGGAGAAGCTCCCGAAGAGGACGCCTTCACCAGCTTGAAGTGGAACGACACAGGCAATGCCCACAACATTAGCCCCACCGATGAGCCAGTCAAGGCCATGGAGGTGGAGCCAGAGTCGGAGCCAGCTGGACAGGATCTCGCCCTCATGGATGCAGATTCCGCTCTCGACCTGGTGGTGGAGCATTTGCCGTTGGAGTCTGTTTTGCAGCGTTACTTTGACAGGAGCCAACTGAAGAGCGCCGGCACATTGGCCAAGTTCTTGTCGGCTCAGATGGAAGCCAACGAGAAACTGAAGACAAACGTGCTGGAGACGCTGTCGGAGAATCACTCTAAGGATTTCCTGGACCACGCGGTGCGCGAGAACCTGTCGTCGGTGGTGTGCGACCGCTTGAACGCAAACTCTGTGCTTGAGTACGTCTGTGCCAAGTCCAAGATCAGCAACAGTTGCCGCAGCGGGCTGCTGGCCCAGGTGCCGGAAATTCTCAAGAGCGGCCCTCGTTCTGATGCCGAGCGCCTGGCCTTCGTGCAGCAGCTGCTGGTGCAGTGCAGCATCGGTGACAGCCAGCTCCTCGATCTCATTGACCTCCTGATGCGCACGCGACACGAGCGGGACAGCAGCACGTCCACACACATTCCAAAAGGCGTTGCAGCCGCCGTTGGAAGCCCTGACAACGTGGCCGAGACCGCGGCGGACTCCTCATCCAACCTGTGAGTTGGATCAGAGTTGAAATCACGAATGGAATATTACGTAGTTGGCCATTGCCCTCGATTGAGGATGGGAATCAATTGTATCTGCTTAGTTTTAGATAGTTTACTTTATTTGCATTATGTATTAGATATATTTTATGCCCGTTGGTGTATTACGTTTTGGCTGCAAAAATTTGCTTCATTTTACAATAAATTCCAATTTTTTATTATTTTAAATCGCGAATTTCAAATACTAACAGCAAAGGGAAGAAGTGTTTGAAGTTTTTGTATCACAAACTATAATTCTTGAGGTTGCTACTTGGAACGTTATCAGTTTTATAACAAATTATGAACTAGTAGGGTAAAAGGAATTTTTAATTCTGACCACAAGATGTGTGTTATGCGTCAAACATACTTTTGATAAGAAAAGCTTAATGATTATTTTGACGTTACCAATAAACCAATTTATTATATACGAAAAATTAGTATTACTTCAGAACCAAAGGTTAGTTTGTAGGGGTTACTACTTGGAATGTTATTAGTTTTATAAATAATTATGACTCACTGGGGAAAAAAAACTTTAATTCTGATTACAAAATGGAGTTCTTATGCGTCAAAATACTTTTGATAAGCTAATGGGTCAATAAACCATATTCATTACTTAAGAAATTGGTCTGTGTAAGTTACCGTTTATCATCTTTTTTATATCAGTAACTATTATTACTTTAAAGTCCAAAGTCTAGAAATGTACGTCGTGACATTGTCAACATTGTCAGTAAAACTAGGCTAATCTAATCTATTAGGTAATGATTGATGTCAATTTGTCAGTTCGACTGCGCCAAAGGTGACGAGGCAGTAATTTTTTGGAACAGACAGATAAACAATTAGGATGATTAGTAAATACTAGTAATTGTTACTCAGCGGGAACAATGAATCAACAAATCAGTGATAAAGTACTATTGATAGAATTTGGTTTAGTCAATCATGACACTATAAAATCACATTCTATCTAGGGAATATAGATTTTCCTCTTCCTAAGTCCACATTATTTTGTGCAGCACATGGTATAGGGCATCTTAAAGTCGACTAGCTCCGCCTCGCAGCTGATTATGCTGGATATTTTGGGGGTCAGGCAGTGGCACCTTCAGTGGAGGGCAAGCCTTTGGAACCTCCACCGGTGGCGGTCCAACCCTATCTGGTTGTTTTGTTGTCTGGTCGCGGCAAAGTCAAATTACCCCGCCTTTCGCCGCATTCACTGATAAAGTTCACGTGCTAGCAAACATCGCGTCGTCGCCGACATCGGCAGATAGAGATACGACTACCGGCGCCGACTATACGTACTATATACCATATACCATATACCATATAGCATAGGTACGTATACAACGACGTCTTGCTGCCATTTGTTCAAATACTAAGATTCCAGCGTGGGCGGACCGCTCTGCACGCTGCCGGTGCGTGTTGAAGGCTCCGCCGGACAATTCGTTGGATACTTTGTATCAGTTACAGGCGGCGTGATAACTGCGCTTTCGGCACAATTAGCCCAGGCGTTTTTTTTTTTTTGGGAATGCCAAGGTCGTTTGTAGGTCTGTACTTCGGTCTATTGTTCGGCGGATCGGCGGGTCTAGCCGCATATAAATAGCCATGGAAAGTTCTTGCTCAGTTGCGCAAGTGAAACTGACCTACCTAACCCAAGACAAACCATCTCGTGTACGGTGACGTAGTCGAGATTCGCGCACTTGAGTCTCCTGCTCCGTCTGCTCTCGGTCTGCGGAACTGTCTCGTCGGCGGCGATCAAGAGCAGGCTAATGGCCCCCATCCCCAGATACCCATATATATGGGGGGGTATATATACTCATCCGGCCGGTGGGCCTTTCGTATCCATGATTCATTCATAAACCGGCGCCCTCGAAATGCGTAAAGCACTTGTGAAATGGTTCTTATCGGCGCTGCGGCAGAACATTTCCTGATTCGATTCCGATGGGGTGCTTGTGCCAGTGCCGTGGAAATTCACGGAAGAGCAGCCTTGTTGGCCAGTGTTGTTGCTCCGGTGCCCGCGATTCTATCAGCACTCGGCAGGCACATAATTGAATAATCTGCTGTGCGAAGAGCGCGAAACAATAAAAATATCAGATACGCTGCCCGTCCGCCGCCAGTTACAGAATAAATACGCTCGGAACACAACGTGGGCGCATCTCGCAGGTGCCAAAAACGAGGTAGAAACGAGAAAAAGTGCGAGAGGCTCTATACATAAAGAGATCTTATGGATGTGGCCGTCGGCTGGCTTTCCTTAACACTCGGTGAAATAGTTTGTGACACAAAAACTATTTTTCTTAATCGCTCTAAGCATTCCTTAGAAATACTTCATGAGTTGAATAATACTATACAATGTGATTAAAATGGTACTGGAAATATTTCACTAGGAATGGAAAGGTTTTTTCATGTGTTGGCAGAATAACCTTATGTGTAATATCTTGTTAAATGAATATACTTTTATAAAATACTACAAAACTAAAGGATATAAAAGGACATTCTAGTATTTAAAAAATATATTAAAAGGATACTTCTAACATCTGGAATTTTAATAAAGTGAACTGATTTTGAAAAACAGTTTATATAATCGTTTTGGACATTGCTTAAGAGGATAACCATAAATACAAATATTGCCGTGACACTAATGTTTTCAATTCGATTGAAAGAGATTTCAGTGACATCTCTTTCAAAAACAAGAATAGCCGCCTGCAGCACGAGAATCTTGAATCTTGAGATCTGCCAATTGGCTAATTAGCTGGGCCAGAAGGGGGCGGATAGGTGCGGGGGGCGTGGCCCAACAGCTGATTGCGCCGAGCACGAGCCACGAACTGCACTGAAAGTTTTGTCGAGCGGAAAAAAAAGCTGCAGGCAGTGCAGTTTTCGCAGAGCGACGGCGACTGGCGAATCAAACGGACGGAGCAAGCGGAGGAGTATCGCTTCCAGTTCTCAGCCCATCAGTTCCAGAATCAGTTCGGAATCTGTTTCGGAATTGCATCCAGACTAGGCGCTAGGTGAGCTCAATAACCGATTTGCCTTGGTCGAGTGCGGATGCTAGAAGCTCGAAGACAACGACGGCGGTCGCGGAAAAGTGACTCAAACTCTGATGTAATCATTTTCACATGCTGTTACGCCCGCTAAAAACGTTCCGTTCGCATTCGCATACTCATTCTCGGTCGTCGGAAATCGGGCGATTTCGGTTTTTGTTTCGCTTTCGGATTCAGTCTGTTGCTGAGGCGCTCGCGGCCTGGAAGCCAAAAAGGTAAACATGGTCACCACTCAACTCAACTCAACTCTACTCGAATCGGTTTGGATTGGATTAAATCGGATGTGCTTGACTTTGGGATAGTTGGATAGTTATCAGAGCTAAAAAGTGCGTCCAACGCGGAGCTGTGCGAACTTGGGTCTGTTTTACTCCAGTGTTCCGGATCCCAACTCTCGACACGTATCTGTATCTTCATCTGGCCATCGGTAGTATTGATTTAACACACATTCGGATACCGATGGTTGGGAGTGGAATGGAACACCCGCTTTCCAATGAGAGCGCAAAGTTGGCCAAAAGCTTTACGCAAAAGCTTTGGTCAGCTGTGAATAAGCGCCAGAGAGCTCTATACCTATACTATGGAACCATAGATGTTATAGAGAGTGCAAATTTAATTCGGAATTTAATTAGCTCTCTGTAGCTTGGGCGTTCTGTGGGCTCTTTTGCTCTCTGCATTATTTGTTGTTAAAAACTTGAGTTAATGGTGTTTGTGATATCATCAAATTCCAATAAATCTGAGAGATATACATAAAACAAGTTTCAAGTTTAAGATTCTCAATCAGAAGTGTCACGGCAAAATATCGACGGCGGGAAAAGTTTTAAAGTAAATGTTAATCAAACGCATTTTGTAGTGACTGCAAGTGGAATAATTATAAGAAGTATTATTGGTGACTCCAACTGTTTTACTTATAAAGTGTCTTTTTGAAAAAGTAAAGAGAATTTTTGTGATATAAAGTAAATCTTTTGAAGGTATTATTCTTCATATAAAGGACTTTTAATTTCTTCATAGCAAGTTTAAGAACAACACAACAAGGTTTTTGATAGAGACAATGAATTTTCTCAAAATGTGCCAACTATTCAAGAGTGAAAATAACATTGTGTTCTGCTTCAATAAAACAAGAAATTATTTCTGAGAATAATGAAGATCAAAGAGAACTAGACATTAGAAAATGTGCAACTGTGGACCTTAACCGTGCATCTTTTAATTGCATACTTATGAGCTGAGGCGTACTAAAAATAATTTAAATTAATTGCTGTTGCCGTGTACCCTTTCAGCACAATACAATACTCGAGATCGATTCTATAGTTTCGTGAGAGATCCCCGAGATGACCTCGCGAATGTTCAAGTTCGGCGTAACAGCCGCCAGCGCCTGCGTGGGTTCCGTGCTGGCCTCGTACACCCTGGACCGCTGGAACACCCCCCATGTGGTTCGTGATTCTTACAAAGAATATTGTATACCTTATATAATGACAATACCTCTACGTTCAGGTCAACAATGCCACTACACCGCCTAAGAGGAAGCGCACGCTGCCCCCACGAGGGGATCAGATCAAATCCCTGATGAGCGGCGAGGAGTTCGACGTGTTGATCATTGGTGGAGGAGCCACTGGAGCGGGATGTGCCCTGGACTCGGTCACAAGAGGTGAGTCCTATATGATCCTATAAGACTAGAACTTCTTTTAAAGAAACTCTATCCCTAACAGGTCTGAAGACCGCTCTGGTGGAGCTGGATGACTTTGCCAGCGGCACCTCTTCGCGCTCCACCAAGCTTATCCACGGCGGAGTGCGTTACCTGCAGAAGGCCATCCTGGGCGTAAGTATCCTAGACCCACCTCTCTCCATTGTAGCCCGCTAATTATCATCTGTCACCTCAGCTAGACCTTGAGCAGTACCGCATGGTGAAGGAGGCGCTGGCTGAGCGCGCCACCATGCTCGAATCGGCACCCCACTTGACCCACCCTCTGCCCATCATGCTGCCAGTCTACACGTAAATTGAAACAATATCATTTAACAGGGGTGTCACATTTTATTGGTTGCGACAAATTAGTCAGTTAGATGAAATTGTAGCTGTTTTGCTTTCCTTCATCTTTTATCTTGAAATCTATTATCACACGTTTAGTTTGTTTCGGATCATTAGGGAAAGTAAAGGATCTCTAAATAATTTGTTTTTAAATTTAATGCTCAATTTAAGGTACTAGGGGTCCGCAGGAATACATTATTTAGTTTAAATTAAATTAAAATTTATTAATTCATTTCAAGATTCTTTTTTTTGCCTATAATCTTGAAATCTGCAAAAATTTGTTGAATTTACTTTGGACCATTAAGAAAAGTTAAGGAACTTGAAATAATTTTTTTAAAAAGCTATTATATTATTTATAAATCAAAGCTACTAGGCATACGCAGGAACATGATGTTTAGTTTGTATTGTATATGCATTAATATCAAAAATAGTTATTACTTACTAATTTACAGTAAAATTTCACTTCTAAAATGATATGTTATGAATTTTGGTAATTAGGTTAGAGTAATGCAACTGCCAGATTCTCTGTGAGACCTCCCCTAATACTTTTTTTTTATAGTTTAACTAACTAATCATTCCCGATTCCTTAGGTGGTGGCAGGTGCCCTATTACTGGGTGGGCATCAAGGCCTACGATCTGGTGGCCGGCGACCGCAACGTGAAGAGCTCGTACTACCTCTCCAAGAAGGACGCCCTCGAACTGTTCCCCATGCTCAAGAAGGACAAGCTGTGCGGCGCCATTGTCTACTACGATGGCCAGCAGGACGATGCCAGGATGTGTCTGGCGGTGGCGCTAACTGCCGCCCGCCACGGAGCCACCGTGTGCAACCACGTGGAGGTTAAGGAGCTGCTCAAGAAGGACGACGGCACCGGCAAGCAGGTGCTGTGCGGAGCCAAGGTCAAGGACCATATCTCCGGCAAGGAGTTCACCGTGAAGGCCAAGTGCATTGTGAATGCCGCCGGTCCCTTCACGGACTCCATCCGCAAGATGGACAACCCGACGGTGAAGAGCATCTGCTGCCCCAGCTCCGGAGTCCATATCGTGCTGCCCGGCTACTACAGCCCCGACCAGATGGGTCTGCTGGATCCCTCGACCTCCGACGGACGCGTCATCTTCTTCCTGCCCTGGCAGAGGCAGACGATCGCCGGCACCACCGACCTGCCCTGCGAGATCACCCACAGCCCCACGCCCACCGAGGACGAGATCCAGTTCATCCTCAACGAGATCAAGAACTATCTGAACGCCGACGTGGAGGTGCGCCGCGGAGATGTGCTCTCCGCCTGGAGCGGTATCCGCCCGCTGGTCTCCGATCCCAACAAGGACGACACCCAGTCGCTGGCCCGCAACCACATCGTCCACGTCAGCCCCTCCAATCTCATCACCATCGCCGGCGGCAAGTGGACCACCTACCGGGCCATGGCCGAGCACACCATCGATGCGGCGATCAAGGGTGAGTCTATAAGGGGATTTTAGGTATTATATATAAGAGGGGGTTATATATCCAAAGCGTATACCTGTAGTTTTTCTTACCTTATCTCATTTTATTTGACATAAATCAAATAATTTGATATTTTTAGGTACCAAAATGATATTTTTCATTGTTTAATGAACATGTTCTATTACCAAAAATTGATATACTATATTATAATGTCAAATTCATATCAGTGGCGGATCTAGGGTTGCTGGCGCCCGGGGCAAAGCGAAAAATTCCGCCCCCTCCCTATTTGCTGTACGAATAACATTAGGAGTATTTAAAGTGTTAATAGGTTATTAATTATTAAAAGCTTATATGTTTGAAGAATTGTATTTCATATCGATTCTTTTGTCAGTTACAACGGAAAAAACATTATTATTTGTGTTTTTGCAAGACAAAAAAATATTACTTTTAGAATATAAATTTTCTGGCCTTGATTGCCGCAAATTCAGCAATAATATCATTGTAGTCGAGTGATGCTGCTACTTCATTTTCGATAGGAAAATATGAATTCTCGAAACATATATTGCTAGTCGGACTCGATTTAGCGCCTCTTAGATTTGGCGCCCGGGGCGCTTGCCCCTTTCGCCCCCCCCTAGATCCGCCACTGATTCATATAGATAACAAATTTATTGTTTTTTTTTTGTTGTCTTTCTTATTCATTAATGAACGTTTCCTTATGATACTGATAGGCTAGTCATTTTAAAAACCTAGATAAGATAACGAAAATCCCGATAATCTCATCAGTTTTCAATGGGTGTTATGATCTAATTCACTTGTTCCCTTTAATAGCCTGCAACTTGAAGCCTGAGCGCGCCGAGGCTGTTACCTCTTACCTGAAGATTGAGGGCGGACAGGGCTGGACCCCGACCATGTACATCCGCCTGGTGCAGGACTTCGGACTCGAGTGCGAGGTGGCCCAGCACCTGGCCAAGTCGTACGGCGACCGCGCCTTCGCCGTGTCCAAGATGGCCTCGCTGACCGGCAAGCGTTGGCCCATCATCGGCAACCGCATCCACCCCGAGTTCCCCTACATCGACGCCGAGATCCGGTACGGAGTGCGCGAGTATGCCTGCACCGCCGTGGACATGATCGCGCGTCGTCTGCGACTGGCCTTCCTCAACGTCCAGGCGGCCCAGGAGGCACTGCCCGTCATCGTCGACATTATGGCCGAGGAGCTGGGCTGGTCCAAGGACGAGAAGGAGCGCCAGCTCAAGAACGCTACCGAGTTCCTGGCCAACGAGATGGGACACTCGGTCAACCGCACCTCCAAGGAGCGCATCCCCATCAAGCTGTCCAAGGAGGAGATCCAGACGTACATCAAGCGCTTCCAGCTGATCGACAAGGACAAGAAGGGCTACGTCTCCATCAACGATATCCGCCGTGCCCTCAAGAGCTTCGGCGATGCCGACGTTTCCGGCGAGCAGCTGCACGAAATTCTGCGCGAAATCGATACCAACATGAATGGCCAGGTGGAGCTGGACGAATACCTCCAGGTGGGTTATAGTTATAAAAGTAAAGCTTGGGACCTGTTCCTCGAGTGCCGGCTAACATTTATCTAAAGTCATGATAAGAAAACGTATTGACTTTTACGACAGGTTTATTTGGTTGTTAGTTTTTTAGACAGACACCAAACTCTCACTTTAACTGTTACTCGAGAAAACGGCCTTTGCGCATGAAAACCCATTTTAAATATAACCATTCTCATAATTAAACGTCGGATTATATAATCAATAGATTATATTTTTAACAATTGTTAATTCAAGTCTTGATTTTACTGTTAAGTAAGAACGCATTGCTTAAGACAAAACCATATTTAATGACAAAAATTGGCACTGTGTGACAGACACTAAACTCTCACTTTAACTGTTACTCGAGAAAACGGCCTTAGCACACGAAAACCCATTTTATACATAACCATTCTCATAATTAGACGTCGGTTTATATAATCAATAGATAATATTTTTAACAATTGTTAATACAAGTCTTGACTTTACTATTAAGTAAGAACGCATTGCTTAAGACAAAACCATATTTATAGACAAAAATTGACACTGTTTCCCTTCCAATAAACAGAGGCTGGGGCTATAAAAGATTTACATGAACAACACTAACGACTATTCAAAATTGCAGATGATGTCGGCCATCAAGACGGGCGACGTGGCCTACTCCCGGTTTGCGCGCATGGCGGAACTGGAGGAGCAGAAGCACGAGGCGGCCAATCTGAAGACGAAGATCAGCGTGGACCGATCCGGAGGAGGCCTGTAAGAGCACAAGCGACTTAACAACGACGACCACATCACCCGGCCATCGGAGGCAAGGACTAGGCTTAAGATCGAACGGTTAAGATCAAACTTATTTTCATTTTGCTGTTAATAAAAACTCTTTCAACTCACAGATGCCCGATGACCAACTTAATTAGCTTACGAAATTAACTTAGCCTGCAACTCCATTCATCTTTATTCATTTGGAATGGAATTCTTAACGCCCACTGGGGGATTTTGGTTGGATTGGTTTGGTTGAACGGGTGGAGTTTCCGCCTTCGGTTTTGGATTTGGTTTGACGGGAGTGGGTTCCACCTTTGCCTTTGGCTTGGTTCCGTTCTGGGCCTCTGCAGACTTCTCCTTTTCTTTAATGCCATTTGGATTGGTATTCTCAGCAGCCACTGGAGGATTTTGTTTAGCCTGGCCTGCTTGAACGGGAGCAGTTACCACTTTGGCTGGTTTTGGATTTGGTTTGACGGGAGTGGGTTCCATCTTTGCCTTTGGCTTGGTTCCGTTCTGGGCCTCTGCAGACTTCTCCTTTTCTTGAATACCATTTGGATTGGTATTCTCAGCAACCACTGGAGGATTTTGTTTAGCGTGGCCTGCTTGAAGGGGGGCAGTTACTACTTTGGCTGGTTTTGGATTTGGTTTGACGGGAGTGGGTTCCATCTTTGCCTTTGGCTTGGTTCCGTTCTGGGCCTCTGCAGACTTCTCCTTTTCTTTAATGCCATTTGGATTGGTATTCTCAGCAACCACTGGAGGATTTTGTTTAGCCTGGCCTGCTTGAACGGGAGCAGTTACCACTTTGGCTGGTTTTGGATTTGGTTTGACGGGAGTGGGTTCCATCTTTGCCTTTGGCTTGGTTCCGTTCTGGGCCTCTGCAGACTTCTCCTTTTCTTTAATGCCATTTGGATTGGTATTCTCAGCAACCACTGGAGGATTTTGTTTAGCCTGGCCTGCTTGAACGGGAGCAGTTACCACTTTGGCTGGTTTTGGATTTGGTTTGACGGGAGTCGGTTCCACCTTTGTCTTTGGCTTGGATCCGGTCTGGATCTCCACTGGCTTCTTCTCTAGTGCATTCGGTTTTGGAATTGCTTTGTTGGGAGTAGATTGCACCTTTGCCTCTACAGTTTGCTTGGGTTCTTTCGGCTTGGGACTGGATGTGGCGGCCCCCTTCTGCTCATTGGGTTTTGCGGGATTACAATCCTGGTTCGGTTTAGGGCTGGTCTTTTGGCCGTTTCCATTCGGTGACTTATTTTCAGCACCTTTGTCCTTCTCCTTGTTACCTTTACAATAAAAAAATGGGTCATATATGAATTACTACAGTTTTGATTTGGGACTATAATTGGTTCTCGTACTGAAAGAGCTCTGCACATTGTTCTCGATGTCGCCGGTGAGGTTTCCATCGCCACGTCTAAAGGTATATTCAGCCTTCGTCACGCAGTTAAACATATCCGCTCGCTGGGGATCGGTTAGTTCGGCAAACATGTCCAGTTTGGGGTCCCAGAAGAAGGGCAGTTTTCCCTTCTTGGAGGTCAACTTAAGGGTTTCACCCAACTTGCTAAGCATCTGGAAAAATGGGGGATTAGTTCGCTGAAGTGTCTTACAAAAGTCCATAAGATTAAGACTTCCAAATCCAATACTCACGTCGATCAAAATCTCTGTCAGGGATTTCTGCCAGTAACTGGCATCCTGGCGAGTCACCTCCCACAGAAAGAGCGTCTTGATATAGTAGCTCTTAAGATTTGCTTTGTTTTTGACGTTGCGGTGCTGCTTCAACAGACGGATGGCGTTCTTCAGGTTGTTCTTGCCGTGGAGAAGCCTGCGCTCCGCGTCGTAGAAGGAGGCCCTGAAGGATGGGTTCTCGTTTTGGGCTGGTTTCATGGGCTTCGGAATGGCATCCCAGTAAGGCGTTCCTGCGAAGTATTTCATCTGCTCCGGGGCCAAGACGACCTGAGCCGCCGAAAGCTTGATGGCCGGAACAAAGTCCACGGAGTACTCGTAGCGCCCCTTCACGAAGATCGTGTGGGCGGGTCCGCACTTTTTGTAGGAAAGGGGCGAGATCTCCCCACCCACTTCGATCTGTTTGTCCATCTTGTTGAAGGTCTGGGTCATAATTCCCTGCAACCAGCTCTGGAGCTTGTCCTCCAGCAGCTGCTTTTTGCCGTTTACGATCTTCTGGAGGAGCTCGAAGACTGCCTTGTTGTGCTCCTGATTTCTAATTATCTCCATTACCTTGCTCATGTCCAGAATCACGTTGCCTGGCCAAAAAGGCGTTAGTATCTAAGTCCAGCTACATTCTTAGAATACTTTCTCACCTGGCTTACGGGGATCAGCCCTAGCAATGATCTTATCATTCTCGGGAAACGTGAGGTGAATCACCAAATCGAACTCATCTGGCATCGATACCTTGAGGTTATCGCCATAGCCACCTGAACAGGATAAAGACATGATTTTACAACCAAGCAAGACAAATTTTGATAAGATATCTACTGGCTGCAATTTATTTACAAATTGATATTGAATTCCAGGAAACTAGGCAGGAAGTTAGGTAAAGCCTTTTATTTGAAATAAAAAATTACATATTGGTAATGTTACTCTTATAAGAAAGGAAGCTTCTAGAATAACTCTTTCTCTTCTCATAGAAAAACTTTTAGGTAAAATTAACCAACATAATAGTTAAATTTTCTCAATCCACCGAATTGTCAATTTGGCTAACGAAATAGTTACTCTCCCAACAACAAAGAACACTCAGCTTACCATTTTATGGTAGTTTAACTATTACTATTAATATATGGTTACTAGAACAATAAAATACACGTCACTATTTTTAATAGTTTTTAACCTCTTTTACAGTTAGGTAACTATCCATATAGGTCAATATTAACCATTATATTTTTTTGTGTATACTCTAATTTGACGTACATAATATGTAAGTTTGTAACAGGAAGCTGAGAGGCACGCACAGTTCATGTTGGCCTTCATCTTGAAATCTGATTACTTTGCTAAAACTTAAATATTTTTGAGAGACACTCAGACACAGCTTTCCTATTCTACTGTTGGTTTTATATACATATAATTTTTGTATATCAAATAGACTTGAACAAGGGACCGATTGAACACTGTGGGTACTTGAACTTGAGGGAAATTTTTGATACCAGTAAGGGTATAAAACTTTCGTCATTCGGGAGTCTCGCTTTCCGGTCGTAATTTCGTTCATCGTTTCGGTTCTTATCGCAGCTAAGCAGTGACGACACAACCAGTGCAATTTGCAGCCGTTTTACCGGATCTGATCGGACCAGTGATACCTTGTTGCAATTCCAGTCTCACTTTCTCGATTGGAGACCGAGGCACTCACTCAGGAATTCGCGTTGCAAGTGGAGAGTGGAGAATGTAGAATAGAGACTGGGAACTTACCGCCTAGTGTGTATCCGGTGACCAGTTTTCCCAGAACTCCCGATCCCTTCCACTCGCTGTACACCTTGTCCCGCAGGGCGTTGTAGTGGGTGGTGTACTTCTCGCGGTGCTGGTCGAAGTTGACGAACTTCCCGTTCGCCTGGTTGATGCTGTTTTCCAAGTTGTTAGCCATGCTGCTGCTGCTACCGAATTGCTTCCGTCGTCGATCGCCGCCGAGTGCTATCTGAACTATCAAATTAGCCGGCCGGCGAGAGGAAACCTACTGGTAGCTCGGCTCTCTGGATTCCACAGCTGATCGCTGTTCGAATTTCGAATTCCGAAGAGAGAAGTATCTTGTAAGTACACACATATGTTGCTTATAGGCGCTCCTGAAAAGTAAACCCATGGAACGATAATCTGTTAAATGAAAATGGTACTGATGGTCTAAAACATTTTATTTTATAATAATTTTGAACAGGTGTTCATAATTTATGAACAAACATGATAACACACATATAATGGTGGGAATTTTACAAAATCATTGAAAATGTTTATGTCTGCGGCTCTGGGAATCACACACTCCCCACAAGCTGTGAAGACTATATTCGGGAAATCACCAATTTAATTTAAGAAGTTGAGGAAATGAAGTTTCTGAGAAATCATAAACATTTCAAGATACGTGGTTGTTTGACTTGAAAGAATAAAGTTTTTGAAAAATAACAAACAACTCAAGAAACGTGGTTGTTTAAAATGCAATTTCAGGAATATTTTATTGATCGGTATTTTTATAGCGTATAGGCGCTCCTAAAAAGAAAACCCATGGAACAGGAATCGGTTAGATGAAAATGGTTTTGATGATCTAAAACATCTTCTTTTATAATAATTATTCAGGTATTATTCGCAGTGTTCATATGATGGGAATTTTACAAATTCAGATTGCCACCCATATCAACCAGTAGGTTAAAGACTTCAGAAAATGTTTTTGTCTTCGGCTCTGGGAATCGCACACTCACCACAAGCTGTGAAAATTCCTTTCGGGAAATCCCAAATTTTGTTTAAGAAGTTGAGGAAATAAAGTTTCTGAAAAATCATAAACATATCAAGATACGTGGTTGTTTAAAATGCAATTTCAAGAATATTTTATTGATCGGTATTTTTAATTTAAGTGGTATTCATATTGATTTTCCATTAGCACGTCACATTTGCAGAATTGAGAGAACAATCATAATTCATTGATCCATAAATTGAATGTTATTTCATTTGCTTCTTGCTGTGTCTGACTTGTTTGTATGTTTTTCGTTTTTCCTTTTATGTATGCGCGTATAAATACTAGGGAGTTGCAAAAATATTTTACAATAACAATCAAAAGTACAATCGATAGTTGGTACGTTGGATAATTGATAGATAAATAGATTAACAAAGGCATAGGCCAATAAAGCAAGAGTTCTGTTGTAAATCTTAGTTCTCAACTAATGCGTGGGGAGGGGAGTTTGGAGGGTTCTTGGGAGACGACAACCCATGGAATTGAAACCACTTGCAGCTAGCGGGGTTGAAAGCGGAATACGGATGGAGGAGGAGGTTAGCCTGTCCTGATCCGATCTGAATGGTTCTTCTTTCCTATCGGAGGTTTACTTTCCTCTGCTACAGATACATCTGAACCAAAGTAAGCTGCGGGTTCCTATTGTTTGCGTTTCTGCTCAGTTGCGATTCTTTTCAGTTGAATGTATATACTTATGT